ATATATATATATATATATATATATATATATATATATATATATATATCCCTTAAGAGGTGAAACACTCAAATCTTGGGGAATCAAAAGGAACTTCTGGATGCATTTATCATAAATATCTGAGATTTCAAAAATTATCACAAATAGTCACAAAAAGGGAAAATCTAGGATATCTAAAGCAGCTCTGCAGGAAGGATCAGACAAGATTCACTGCTCAGGAGAGGCAGGAATGGGTCTTGGTAGAAAGCGTTTCCTGACGGTTTTGCCAAAAGTCGAAGCTCGTTTTGCTCTTCAGGACCTTGGATCATGCCCACTGCTCTTAACTGAAAACAAAGCACAGAACTCTTCAAGTCTTCTTATTTGGTGGGATATTCTTTTTTAATCTTTAAAAAAAAAATTTTATTGGAGTATAGTTGATTTACAATGTTGTGTTAGTTTCAGGTGTACAGCAGAGTCAATCAGTTATACATATATCCACTTTTTTTTTTTAGATTCTTTTCCCTCATAGGCCATTACAAAGTATTGAGTAGAGTCCCCTGTGCTATACAGTAAGTCCTTATTAGTTATCTCTTTTATACATAGTAGTTGTATATGTCAATCCCGACTGGTGGGATATTCTTAAATTCATCTGAACCAAATTGGAATCTCAGAAAGAGAGAAAGCAATAACCAGAAAAACATTATTGAAAGCATAATTTCATTTTTGTGTGGAAACTGCAAAAACCACCAGCATGCTTTTGCCAGCAATACCTGTCATAATTTTCCTTAATGTACTTAACTATCATGAAAGAATATGTAAATGACAGTTCTCATTTTACATTTTAGTTTCTACCTTAGACCATCATGTCAATTGCCATAATCCCCAAATAGCTGCTTCATAAGATAAATTAAAAATTTTAAAGATGAGTCTTCTGTGCCAAAAGTTTTATCATCTTCCAATCCCCGCTAAGTCATGAACAGTTAACCCTCTGAACGTATAAAAAAGCAAGGTTCTCCATACCCCTCTCTCCCTTCACCCTCTGTCTGTTGACATTGTCTGATAACCTCTTTTGTGCTAGGGATTAACCACATAGCCCAATGGGGCTCCAGTGGTGGAAAAAGGAATACTTTTTTCCTCATTGACTCCTTTATCTTCCCTCAGGGGGACATTCAGTTGTCGAGGTCTCTACTTTTCCTTTATTTTCATCCCTCATAATTTAGCTAGTTCTCCCTCAGGCAATCATCTTCTCACACAACAGCATCCTCTTGGACCCGTTCCTCGTTTCCATCCCCCTCAAACTTCACTCAGGAGAATAAGCACAGAGTTTCTGATGCCCTCCTGCCTGTCCAGAATCTGCTGAGCCTGCTCTTGAGACAGAGAGCCCCCTGGAGACCACAGGTGCCCTCTAGGCCAGTACTGTCCAGAAGAACATTCTGTGATGAAGGATGTGTTCTTTAATATGTATGTGGCCATTGAGCACTTCAAGTAGGTTCATATGATGGAATAAATGAATTTTTAATTTTATTCCATTTTTAATTTAAGCAATAACTAAAGGAAAATTTAATTTTTATTAAAGTTAAAATTTAAATTAAATTAAATAGCCACATGTGGCCTCCCTGCTATCGTATTGGACAATGCGGCTTAGACTGTGGTCTAAATCCTGAGGGGCAGAAGGAGCTTGTTGTCAGGACTACTCCACAGTCTCATTCTTTACACTGATGATCCCAGGACTGTAGGAAAGTTAGGGCATCTCCCAGGACAATGCCTTTCCTTTGCGCCTCTGAATCTCATCCCCCAAATATTAGCACGCCCGCCACTCAATTGCAAAATTGAGTCAATTCTCTTTGGAGATTTATGCTTCTTTATGTAAATCTTTATCTCGTCTAAACTATTTTAGTCAACTTAGTATTAAGGAAACTTTCAGACACTTTGATCTTCAGTTTATCTTAATAGCTTTTTCTTCCCCCTATTGAAATGTCTATTTGTCACAGCTACCTTCCCCTCTGTTGAAGGGCTTTCTAATTCTCTTGACTTTTTTGTGTGTTTTCTGAGGTCTAGATACAACTGGAAGTAACATCAGCAGCATTTGGGAGACCAGGTAGCCACAGGTGTGGACATGTGACCTTGCCAGCTAGTATATGCTCTTCTCTCATGTTTCCAACTTAAGCTACCCACAGCTGAAGGTGAGACCATTCCGAAAGGGTAAGGTTACTGATTTTTATTGACATTAAAAAATCCAAGTATGCATCTCTTATTCTTAAAGGTAACCAGATATACTGGCAAATGTATATCTGTAGTTCAGACTACAATTAGAGAGTCTACATTCTTCTCAAACACGCATTAATCACTTGCCAAAAATGATAATATATTAAGCCACAGGACAAGCTGCAACGTATTTCAGTAAATCAAATATTATACCAACCACGTTATCTTAGTACAGTGTTACTAAGTTAGAGATCAACAAGGCAAAGATAACAAAAGAGTTCATATGTTTGGAAATTTATAAATAGGCATCTCGATTACAGATCAAAAAAGAAATCATACTGGGAATTTTTTTTTTTGCTAGCTCCAAATCTATTTTAGTTTCTGTCACATTTCCTCAAGTCTAAACGCTTGCTTTTAAGCTTGGGAGGGCATTTCTAGCATGGCCTCAGTGTTGCAAGCACAGCATACATTTAAATATCCTCATGATGATTTCTAGAGCTTTCTTCCTGTGCAGCTGCCTAGATGCTTCAGCCACCGGAACAGCCACTGACCTCTCTTTCCTCAGTTCAGGATGACAGCTCCCTGTGCTTGGTCTCCTGTGCTTGAGCTCCCTCTGGAAAATGCCTCCAGGCAGAAAGCTATTCTTGGCTCAGCCGATTTCTTTCTCTTCTTTTAGGGGACACAATCCTGTGTTACCTGTGGTAAAGTGTCTGAAAATAGTTGGTTTATATATTTGTATTATTATGTTATAGATTTATTTTTATATAAAAATTATGTATTTTATCCTGTTTTCTAGCAGTTTGTGTATCCAGTTACATCACTGCTGAGGCCTTTCCACCTCTGCATGCTGCTCAGGGTCTAGGGCACCTTTCCTCTCACTCCCATCTTGTCCTCCTGTCTTCTTCTCTCCTCCCATCCTGGGCAAGCTAATTAGCCTCCTCAATGTGCTCAGTCTTTTACAAAAGGAAGAAAAAGCACCAAATTATTTCAAACTGTCCCTGCTATCTGTCCAAAAAGTTGCTGAGTAAAGGTCTTTCAAAATTGCCTGTGTGTGTGTGTGTGTGTGTGTGTGTGTGTCTATTGGCAGAGGACCATATAAAGGGAGAAGAATCTAAATTGAGATTTTAATAAAGTATTCTGGCTAAAAACTCTGTAATTAACTGCATTAGTAATTTAATCTCTCAGCACAGAACATTTTTGACTATTATGCGCCTGTCATAATTAATTTTGACTGTGCCAGAGGATGCCCAGGTATTTGTTTAAACATTATTCTGGGTGTGTCTGTGAGGGGCTTTTCTGAATTAGATTAACATTTGAATCAGTAGACAATAAAGCAAATTGCCCTCCTCAATGTTGGGCACCACAAACAATTCATTGAAGGCCTTGATAGAACAGAAAGGCTGAGTCAGGGCGAATTTATTCTCTCTCTGCTTGACTGTCTTCCTGCAGGACATCAGGCATCTCCTGCCTTTGCACTCGGACTTGGAACCATACAATCAGCTCTCCTGGGTCTCCAGCGTGTTAACTGCAGGTCTTGGGACTCTCAGCCTCCGTAATCATGTGAGCTAGTTCCTTATAAGAAATCTCTAAAACTTCCTATTCCTATAGGTTCTGTTTCTCTGGAGAATTCAGACTGATAGTGTGTCTTACTAAGTGATTTCAATTCCATAAAGTCTTTTGAATTTACTGTATTCTTAATACTTTGCACAATCTTTTGGGGACTGCCCTGATTCCTTTACTTCACAGTAGATCAGCTGTTGGGTATTTGGGGGAAAGGAGAAGAAGGCAGTTATAAAGGGAGGAGAGCAAGGCTTATAGACTGTCATGTAGATGAGGACCAAGTTCTATCAGAATTGGGAATAGGACATATCACTTTTTCCACCAGTATAATCCATCACTTCAGATGAAGAATACATTTCACCAATACCCAAAATCATAGTCAATGGAGAGAAAAGGTACATGGTTGGAATTCATACTTCATTCTAGCTACTCAAGAATTTTTGATAAATCACATTTTCCTTACATGTGAGGTTTTAATACATTCTGTAAATGCACGAGATAACATTTTGTGATCTTCATTCATAAATGTGTTAGCTTTCTGAGACATCTCTTTAATTTCCTGAGATGTTACCTGTCTTCACCTCTGTTTATTGAAATCATCTGAGGCTGATCTTAAGTTGCACATCCTCTTTGTAGCCAACTTGACTTTGAACTTCTATTTCCATTATAATGGTTGCTTTCCTGAGAATCAGTTTTCCCTATAGGCATTTCATATGAGTATTTCTGTCGGTATATTGAGAGAATGTGAGACTGGAATGCAGTAGGGAGAAAAGAAAGGAAATTAGGAAAGAGAATACTTCTTGATATATAGGAGGACTGGGGGAAGAACACACTGGGCTTGTATTATGGGTTGAATGGTGTCCCCCAGAGTTCATTTGCTGAAGTCCTAAGCCCTAGCACTCCAGAATGTGACCTTATTTGGAAATAGGGTCATTGCAGATGTCATTAGTAAAGATGAGGTCAGACTGGAGTAGGGTGGATCCTCAATCCAATATGACTAGGGGGAAATTTGGACACAGATATGCACACAGAGAGAACATCGTGTGAACATGAAGGCAGAAATCAGGATGAGGCATCTAAAAGCCAAGGAACATCAAAGATTGACAGCAAACCATCAGAAGCTAGGAGAGAGGCATTCTCCCTCACAGACCTCTAGACCTCTGAAGGAGCCCACTCTGCTGACACCTTGATCTCAGACTTCTAGTCTCTGAAATTGTGAAACAATGCATTTCTGTTGTTTAAGCCACCAGTTTTTGGTACTTTGTTAGGACAGCCTCAGGAGACCAATATAATTAGAATTCAGAAAACCTTGATTTTTGTCTCAGCATTTCTACTAATTCTGTGATTTGGATAATGTGGATCATCATCTCTGTGTTTTTTTAGTTTCCTCAACGAAAAAATGAAGGAATGTGTTGAATCAACATTTCTGTATTTTTTTAATATAGATACCTCTTTACACTCTTAAAAAGTATTGAAAACCCACAAAAGTTTTTAGGTGGTTTTACATATTTCTATATTTGCTATATTAAAAATTAAACTAGGAAATTAAAAAAATATATTTATTTATGAATTTATTTTAAAATAAGAAACTACACTTAGTACAAGTTAAAATGAATAATATATTTACACTATATGAGAACTATATTTTACTAAACAAACTTAGAAGAGTGATAATGTTTTGCATTTTTGCAAATCTCTACAATGTCTACCTTATAATACAGCTGGGTTCTTATATCTGCTTCAGCATTCAGTCATTTGCAATATGTTGTTTCAGTTATACAGAGAAAATCCAGACTCACCCACACTTATAGTTGGAAAAGTGAGGAGTATTTTAATGGTTTCTTTGAAAGGGTGTGAATATTCCTGGATTTTACACCGAAACTCATCTTCTCTTTTTTTTTTTTCTTAAAGAAAAGGTGTACTATGGAATCTGATATCTTATCAATGAAATTTTTGTTCTCTGTTACATTAAAATCCCCTGAGTTATTTTATATATTGAATGGCTCTCCTACCTGTGTGAGATTTTGTGTCAAAATGTTTTGGTCATTTGGAAAATATTGGCTTACTAAGTTATGCAGATGTTCTACAAGCTGACATATTTCACTATTTAATATCAAAAACATCACATTTGTAAATAGGATTTTAAGCTAATGGTGTCCCAGAATACCAAAGATTTCTAAATCATTCTGAAGAACAGTCGGCTTCCAGCAGCAGTGACATTCAAGGATGGAAAGAGAGGGGCATGATTCCTTTGTGGAGAAAAGTTTGAAAACTGGACGCAGAATCACTACTAACATTTTGGGGCCCAGCAGGTAAGAGTACAGAGGCCCAGGCTTCTGATGTTTAAATATTTTAAAAATCATCAATCATGTTAGCAAACTGTATAGATCTGTTCTCCTAAGTTGATAAATATACCTTCCCTATTAATTCATAAAAATATTTGTGAAAATCCATGGTTTGAATATAATTGAAAATCAGGAAATTATAAAAAATTACTGAGTCTGTTTACTCTTGCTCATGTCTAAAGTTTCTACAGAAAGGTGATTTAGGATGAGTAGTAAAAGTATACATAATTCATTAATTATTATACACTTATTTCCTGAAGTGTTTTTCCTTGACTCTATTTCAGCAAAATGTGAAGAAACTGATCTGCTAAGATAGTAGCAACTGGAATTGTTAATAAGATTTTTAAAACAATTTTTAGGTTTGGAAATAAACCATTATTTTACATAGTTCAAAACATTGTAACAGGGTCAAACATGACATATCCTAACAAAAGAAATTACTACAAATTATTTTAATTTTAGTGCATAAATTTCTATTACTTACGTTGTGAGTTTTACTATTTTTAAAGCAATATATAGATCCACAAAGCATTCTTTAAGTTTTTATTCTTTAAAAAATTACAATGCTGAGATAATAAAAATAAAACAAAAATAGCATCTTGTAGCTTCACTTGTTCAAATCTTTTAGTTAAGTTTAAATCTTTTTTAAAAATTGAAACTATATTTGTCTATATAGCTGGAAAATAATATTCATTGATTCCAAGTAATTTGCACATAAGTCTTTTACTTTATAGTTGTGAAAATTATTTTGTTTTATTTTTCTAATTTATTTAAATTTGATTGGGATGGCACTTTTTTTTTTTTTTTAAAGAAGATGTTGTGGGTAGGAGTTTATTAATTAATTTATTTTTGCTGTGTTGCGTCTTCATTTCTGTGCGAGGGCTTTCTGCAGTTGTGGCAAGCAGGGGCCACTCTTCATCGCGGTATGCGGGCCTCTCACTATCGTGGCCTCTCTTGTTGTGGAGCACAGGCACCAGACACGCAGGCTCAGTAGTTGTGGCTCACGGGCCTAGTTGCTCTGCGGCATGTGGGATCTTCCCGGACCAGGGCTCGAACCCGTGTCCCCTGCATTAGCAGGCGGATTCTCAACCACTGCGCCACCAGGGAAGCCCAGGGATGGCACTTTTGTTGCACAGTTATGTAGTCTCTTCCAGTTAGGAAATTTTTGTGTCAAAAACTTTTAACTAGTATTTAAAAAATCATATTAAAAGTTAGAGTAAAATTTGAATCTGCTTAGCTTTTTTTGGTATGTTTTATAAACATATTAACAGCAAGAAATATTTTATAAAAATAACTCTGGATAACACACAATCATTTAATTTTTTCCAAACTCCACAACTTTTCTTTTTTTGAGGATCTTCTATTATTTTGTAAAACTATTCTAATATATCTCACACCTTGTCTAAAATCTAATTGGTTTAATAGCACTTGGTTAAGAATGATTATAAGGTCAATTTGACATGTGTTTTGTCAAGATGTTCTTATTTTTCTAAATTGCATTGGCTATTCTTTAACCTTTTAATTAAAATAAATTTTTGAATCAGAATGTAAATTTCCGACAACAAAATAAAAAGCCTTTAGGAGTATTGATTTTGACTGTGTTAAATCTACAGAAAAACTTGGGAAGAATGAATATCTTTATAATCTATGAATAAGGTATATTTATCCATTAATCTAGGTCTTCTTTACTATCTTAGTAACTTTATGAAGTTTTTTCTGTAAAGGTAATTCTCATCTTTTGTTAGATTTATTTCAAGGTATTTGACTTTTTGGATTCAACTGTAAATGGTATAATTTTAGTATTTATTTTTCTATTTATTTGTAGCTGGTAAATAAGAGTTTGATTTATTTTTGCATATGGAACTAATATCCAAGCATCCTTCCTAAACTCACCCCTTAATTCAGACAGTTTGAATGGAAGTCATGGTGGCAGATGAATGGAAGTCATGGTGGCAGACATCCTTATGGTCTTACTGATCACAGTGGAATGGTTTCAAAATTTCAATAGGTATGTTTTCCATAGTTTTTTTGGAAGATACTTACTGTCAGATTAGGGCTGTGCTCTTCTATTTTTAGTTTAGTAAAAGATTTTAAAAGATTATTAATGAATGTTGAATTTGTCACGTTTTCTATAAGCATATTGACATTATCATAAGATATTGATATTTTATTTTGTTAATGGCATAAGTCACAGTGATTTTTGAATATTACCAGAAGTTTTCAGCCCTGGCCAAGGAAACAAACAAAAACCAAAACCAAACTCGATCATTATATATGATCATTTTTATATTTAACTATATTCCATTTGCTAGTGTTTCATTTAGAGAATTCTGAGTCCATGTTAAGAGTTTGGCATGTGTTTTCCCTTTCTTGTAGTGTCTTTGTCAGACTTTGGCATCTAGGTAATACTGGCTTCATAACATGAGGTGGAAGGTATGTTCTCTTTTTATACAGTGCAGGAGATCTTGTGTTACATTGTGTTTTTTCTTACTTAAATATTTGGGAGAATTTACCAGTTTCTGGGCCTGGGGTTTTCTTTATTTTTTAACATCTTTATTGGAGTATAATTGCTTTACAATGGTGTGTTAGTTTCTGCTTCACAACAAAACGAATCACTTATATATATACATATGTTCCCATTTCTCTTCCCGCTTGCATCTCCCTCCCTCCCACCCCTCCAGGTGGTCACAAAGCACCAAGCTGATCTCCCTGTGCTATGCGGCTGCTTCCCAGTAGCTATCTACCTTACGTTTGGTAGTGTATATATGTCCATGCCTCTCTCTCTCTTTCTCACAGTTTACCCTTCCCCCTTCCCATATCCTCAAGTCCATTCTCTAGTAAGTGTGTGTCTTTATTCCTGTTTTACCCCTAGGTTCTTCATGACATTTTTTTCCCTTAAATTTCATATATATGTGTTAGCATACAGTATTTGTCTCTCTCTTTCTGACTTACTTCACTCTGTATGACAAACTCTAGGTCTATCCACCTCATTAAAATAGCTCAATTTCGTTTCTTTTTATGCCTGAGTAATACTCCATTGTATATATGTACCACATCTTCTTTATCCATTCATCCGATGATGGGCACTTAGGTTACTTCCATCTCCGGGCTATTGTAAATAGAGCTGCAATGAACAGTTTGGTACATGACTCTTTCTGAATTATGGTTTTCTCAGGGTATATACCCAGTAGTGGGATTGCTGGGTCATATGGTAGTTCTATTTGTAGTTTTTTAAGGAACCTCCATACTGTTCTCCACAGTGGCTGTATCAATTTACATTCCCACCAACAGTGTAAGAGGGTTCCCTTTTCTCCACACCCTCTCAAGCATTTAATGTTTCTAGATTTTTTGATGATGGCCATTCTGACTGGTGTGAGATGATATCTCATTGTAGTTTTAATTTGCATTTCTCTAATGATTAATGATGTTGAGCATTCTTTCATGTGTTTGTTGGCAGTCTGTATATCTTCTTTGGAGAAATGTCTATTTAGGTCTTCTGCCCATTTTTGGATTGGGTTGTTTGTTTTTTTGTTATTAAGCTGCATGAGCTGCTTATAAATTTTGGAGATTAATCCTTTGTCGGTTGCTTCATTTGCAAATATTTTCTCCCATTCTGAGGGTTGTCTTTTGGTCTTGTTTATGGTTTCCTTTGCTGTGCAAAAGCTTTGAAGTTTCATTAGGTCCCATTTGCTTATTTTTGTTTTTATTTCCATTTCTCTAGGAGGTGGGTCAAAAAGGACCTTGCTGTGATTTATGTCATAGAGTGTCCTGCCTATGTTTTCCTCTAAGAGTTTGATAGTTTCTGGCCTTACATTTAGGTCTTTAATCCATTTTGAGCTTATTTTTGTGTATGGTGTTAGGGAGTGATCTAATCTCATACTTTTACATGTACCTGTCCAGTTTTCCCAGCACCACTTATTGAAGAGGCTGTCCTTTCTCAACTATACATTTCTGCCTCCTTTATCAAAGATAAGGTGACCATATGTGCGTGGGTTTATCTCTGGGCTTTCTGTCCTTTTCCATTGATCTATATTTCTGTTTCTGTGCCAGTACCATACTGTCTTGATAACTGTAGCTTTGTAGTATAGTCTGAAGTCAGGGAGCCTGATTCCTCCAGCTCCGTTTTTCGTTCTCAAGATTGCTTTGGCTATTCGGGGTCTTTTGTGTTTCCATACAAATTGTGAAATTTTTTGTTCTAGTTCTGTGAAAAATGCCAGTGGCAGTTTGATAGGGATTGCATTGAATCTGTAGATTGCTTTGAGTAGTAGATTCATTTTCACAATGTTGATTCTTCCAATCCAAGAACATGGTATATCTCTCCATCTATTTGTATCATCTTTAATTTCTTTCATCAGTGTCTTATAATTTTCTGCATACAGGTCTTTTGTCTCCTTAGGTAGGTTTATTCCTAGATATTTTACTCTTTTTGTTGCAATGGTAAATGGGAGTGTTTTCTTGATTTCACTTTCAGATTTTCCATCCTTAGTGTATAGGAATGCCAGAGATTTCTGTGCATTAATTTTGTATCCTGCCACTTTACCAAATTCATTGATTAGCTCTAGTAGTTTTCTGGTAGCATTTTTAGGATTCTCTATGTATAGTATCATGTCATCTGCAAACAGTGACAGTTTTACTTCTTCTTTTCCGATTTGGATTCCTTTTATTTCCTTTTCTTCTCTGATTGCTATGGCTAAAACTTCCAAAACTGTGTTGAATAATAGTGGTGAGAGTGGGCAACCTTGTCTTGTTCCTGATCTTAGTGGAAATGCTTTCAGTTTTTCACCATTGAGGACAATGTTGGCTGTGGGTTTGTAATATATGGCCTTTATTATGTTGAGGAAAGTTCCCTCTATGCCTGCTTTCTGCAGGGTTTTTATCATAAATGGGTGTTGAATTTTGTCAAAAGCTTTCTCTGCATCTATTGAGATGATCATGTGGGTTTTCTCCTTCAATTTGTTAATATGGTGTATCCTGCTGATTGATTTGCGTATATTGAAGAATCCGTGCATTCCTGGAATTTATTCCTGGAATAAACCCCACTTGATCATGGCGTACGATCCGTCTAATGTGCTGTTGGATTCTGTTTGCTTGTATTTTTTTTTTAGAGGGTTATGGTAGTATTTATTATCTTGATTCAGTGAGGGTATCAAATCGTACACTTCCAGCTTATGCAGATTATTGTGCCAATTATACTTTTTTTTTTTTGCGGTACGCGGGCCTCTCCCATTGCGGAGCACAGGCTCCAGACGCGCAGGCTCAGTGGCCATGGCTCACGGGCATGCCCAGCCGCTCCAGGGCATGTGGAATCCTCCCAGACCGGGGCACGAACCCGTGTCGCCTGCATCGGCAGGCAGACTCTCAACCACTGCGCCACCAGGGAAGCCCGTTTGCTTGTATTTTGTTGAGGATTTTTGCATCTATGTTCATCAGTGATATTGGCCTGTAGTTTTCTTTCTTTGTGACATCCTAGTCTGGTTTTGGTATCAGGGTGATGGTGGCCTCGTAGAATGAGTTGGGGAGTGTTCCTCCCTCTGCTATATTTTGGAAGAGTTTGAGAAGGATAGGTGTTAGCTCTTCTCTAAATGTTTGATAGAATTCGCCTGTGAAGCGATCTGGTCCTGGGCTTTTCTTTGTTGGAAGATTTTTAATCACAGTTTCAATTTCAGTGCTTGTGATTGGTCTGTTCATATTTTCTATTTCTTCCTGATTCAGTCTTGGCAGGTTGTGCATTTCTAAGAATTTGTCCATTTCTTCCAGGTTGTCTATTTTATTGGCATAGAGTTGCTTGTAGTAATCTCTCATGATCTTTTGTATTTCTGCAGTGTCAGTTGTTACTTCTCCTTTTTCATTTCTAATTCTATTGACTTGAGTCTTGGAGCTCCCTTTTTTTCTTGATGAGTCTGGCTAATGGTTTATCAATTTTGTTTATCTTCTCAAAGAACCAGCTTTTAGTTTTATTGATCTTTGCTATCGTTTCCTTCATTTCTTTTTCATTTATTTCTGATCTGATTTTTAAGATTTCTTTCCTTCTGCTAACTTTGGGGGTTTTTTTGTTCTTCTTTCTCTAATTGCTTGAGGTGCAAGGTTACGTTGTTTATTCGTTGTTTATTCGTTGTTTATTCGAGATGTTTCCTGTTTCTTAAGGTAGGATTGTATTGCTATAAACTTCCCTCTTAGAACTGCTTTTGCTGCATCCCGTAGATTTTGGGTCATCGTGTCTCCATTATCATTTGTTTCTAGGTATTTTTTGATTTCTTCAGTGATTACTTCGTTATTAAGTAGTGTATTGTTTAGCCTCCATGTGTTTGTATTTTTTACAGATCTTTTCCTGTAATTGATATCTAGTCTCATAGCATTGTGGTCAGAAAAGATACTTGATACGATCTCAATTTTCTTAAATTTACCAAGGCTTGATTTGTGACCCAAGATATGATCTATCCTGGAGAACGTTCCATGAGCACTAGAGAAAAATGTGTATTCTGTTGTTTTTTGATGGAATGTCCTATAAATATCAATTAAGTCCATCTTCTTTAATGTATCATTTAAAGCTTGGGTTTCCTTATTTATTTTCATTTTGGATGATCTGTCCATAGGTGAAAGTGGGGTGTTCTAGTCCCCTACTATGAATGTGTTACTGTCGATTTCCCCTTTTATGGTTGTTAGTATTTGCCTTATGTATTGAGGTGCTCCTATGTTGGGTGCACAAATATTTACAATTGTTATATCTTCTTCTTGGATCGATCCCTTGATCATTATGTAGTGTCCTTCTTTGTCTCTTGTAATTGTCTTTATTTTAAAGTCTATTTTGTCTGACATATGAGAATTTCTACTCCAGCTTTCTTTTGGTTTCCATTGCATGAATTATCTTTTTCCATCCCCTTACTTTCAGTCTGTATGTGTCTCTAGGTCTGAAGTGGGTCTCTTGTAGACAGCAAATATACGCGTCTTGTTTTTGTATCCATTCAGCCAATCTATGTCTTTTGGTGGGAGCATTTAGTCCATTTACATTTA